GGGAGAGGTGTGCCGCGCCCTGACCGCTGTGGACCCTGGCGCCACCTTCGCCGTCGACACCTGGGAGAGGAAGGAAGGTACGGGGGTGGGGGGCCGCGGGAGTCACCCCAGACACGATCACCCCGAGGGGCGCCTGCTTCGGCGCGGTGTGACCCTGGGAGAGGTGTGCCGCGCCCTGACCGCTGTGGACCCTGGCGCCACCTTCGCCGTCGACACCTGGGAGAGGAAGGAAGGTACGGGGGTGGGGGGCCGCGGGAGTCACCCCAGACACGATCACCCCGAGGGGCGCCTGCTTCGGCGCGGTGTGACCCTGGCTTTGGCAGGTGGAGGTGGCATCAGCTGCGTGCTGCAGGACGGCGAGGTCTTCGAGAAGGCGGGCGTGAACGTGTCTGTCGTGTCCGGGCTCCTGTCCGAGGAGGCAGCGCGGCAGATGCGCAGCAGGGGGAAGTCTCTGAAGGCCAAAGACGGTAAGGTGTCCGGCGGGGAGGTGGGGTAGGGGACCGGGACGCGTTCACCCGAGGGTTTCCATGTGGGTACTCTGAAAGCAGGCTGACCTTTGAGCAGAACATGGGGAAGCCAGACTGATCAGCACTCTAGGGTTTCATCTGTATCATGGTGGTTTCTAACCAGCAAGCCTGGCATGTGGACTTTTGTATCCCTGAAAAGTTAGGTGTTGGAGTGCGTCCCAATTTGTCTTGCTGCTTTAAGCAGTGCACTGTAGGCACAGGTTGTTTCTCGGTAACAACACTGTAGCTCAACAGTGAAATAGTGCAGGAGTTACTGACTAAAGAGATGAAGGGAGAGAACCAAGAAGACCTGAAGACTAAAGAGGATTCAGTCCGCCTTTGTGTAGCAAAGGGTAACTCAGATGACTGGGGCTGTGGAAAGCTGTAGCAGTGCCTTACATTGTAAGTGATCTTCATTTAATGGGTGCTTTAACAGTTTGTTGTGTTTTAGGACAAATACCACAAAATAGCATTTAGTTAGGTGCACAGAAGTGTGTGGATGAGAAGTAAATTGCACATTGGTTAATAATTATGGTGACGCACTTTCTTGCAGTGGAACGGTACCCTGGAACCTGAGGAAAAATAGTGATGTTCCTTAAAGGATAATAAATTAAGTTATTTTAAAAACTGAAGGTTTTTTAGCTGTGCATCTTTTTTTATAGGGAAACTGCCTTTTTGCGCCATGGGTGTGAGCTCTGTTATCCATCCAAAGAACCCTCACGTTCCAACCATGCACTTCAACTACAGATACTTTGAAATTGAGGAAGCGGACGGTAAGAACTATAATGCTATGAAGTATGCATGAAACATATGGTTCTGTATGAAGGAAGTGTGGATGCATGGCTAAGGTAGGCGGTTAAGAACTGATCCAGGTTTGTTCCCAGCGGTGCTATGAGGCTGTTGTGCTGCGCTGGATCTCTTAAAGTCTGAGCCTTCATTTGTCAGTTTGTAAAATCAGTGTGATGTGTGCAGCTGGTACAATAACTGTGTTTGCAGCATACATCACGGGTTTCATATTATTTAGGTGTTGGAGGTTATAAATAAGTGTAAAGCATATTCAGAGAAGCAAGTCTAGAATGTATTAGAAGAAAGGTCTGTGAAGGGCTGATAAGCACTCTGGTCAGGATGTACCTTTGTCTCAGAAGTCAGGAGGACGTACTGTCAGAAACACTGCTCTCAATGTGCACTGTGCCTTGTTTTCCCCGAGTTTCTGCAACTTGCCACTGTCAGAAGCAGGACTCTGGGCTAGATGGTCTAACGCTGAGAGCCCATCTGTGCTTTGTGACAGTGTATGTACTGTCAGAAGCTCAAAGAGTTTTCTTTCCGTTATTTTGCCAGAGCATTACAGATCATTTCTGTTCGGTTACTTCCCTGGATTTAATAATTATGTTTCCTTTCTTTGGCATGCAGTAAAATGTTTCTGGATTCTTGAATAGGAGTTGCCAGCTCATCTTGTGAAATTGATATCCTGTAGTCAGGGTCAGTGGTCCAAAATACTGAACAGTTTTCACTGCTTTGAAATTTGCTTCACGTCGTCCCGAAGTCACTGGTCATTGCACTACCTTGAACTCAAATTTTTTATGATTGATGTTTAGGAACACCACCATAATGAATTTGTTTTGTACTGTAAAAGTAGTTGTTAGTTCTTGGTGAACCACTAGCAACATATTTCCCTTTGGAAGTTTAAAAGAAAACTGTTGCTGCTTGCCTCTCTCCTATAGGAACTAAACAGTGGTGGTTTGGTGGTGGGACTGACCTCACTCCAACTTACCTGAATGAAGAGGATGCCGTTCATTTTCACAAGACTCTGAAAGAAGCCTGTGACAAACATGACCTGAAGCTGTATCCCAAGTACAAGAAATGGTATGTTGGGAGAGACACGCTCAGGTTCCTTTTGTTGGGAGCAGAAGGCAGCACAGGATAGTCTCAGTGTTCTCTGGGAACAGTAGGTTTTGTTCTGCCTTTTGGTAGGTATCAGCAGACCCTAATGAAAATCAGCAGATGTGTACTAAGACAAAATGTAAACAGTCTCGTGTTTACAGAGGCCTGAGCTTTTCAAATCAGAGGGCTGACAACTAGGATCATAAGTCTATAGCCCAAATAATAACCAAGCTGACACTACAAGATTTTATAAGTCACAGACTTCACTATGCAACTTAAAAATTCCTTTTAGCCCCTGGTGTTAAACAAGGGCAAGACCTTTTTCCCCCTGGACTTGCAGTGAATCTTAGAGTTAACTCATGGTAAATTTGCATGACTTCAGTGTGAGCAGTAGAGCCAGAGCTGCAGTTCTGAAAATCCCACTCCAGTTTTTCTACCTTCAGTCTGACTTTCATTATCCGCCCCCTTTTTTTGTTTGCCAGGTAGGTAAGAGAGCTTGTCCTTAATGTAGAAGCTTCATAATTTTGATGGAGTTGTACTTTTTTTCCCAGTGACACATTCACTGAGAGTTCAACAGCATATTCTCTAAAGATGCAAACTTCGAATGTTGTTCCTGAATTGAAAGACTGGGATGATTGGGATTCTTCACTCTTCAGTGGGGGCTTGCTGCTTTGTGTCTGATAATCCTATCTGCTCCAAGCTGTGGTATCCATGAAGGACGGGTTACCCTTCTGTAGGCTACCAGGTCTTGTCTGAGCACAGGAGATAAAGTGGGTGTTGTAGCTTGGGTGTGAACCACTTATCAGAGAAGCACATCTTATAACCTTAAGACTATGGTCTTGTTGTCTAAGGAATTTTTGCATGGTGGTTCAGAGTGTTTGCCGTAATGATCTGGTTGTTTGCAGTAAGTTTACTTTGTTTGTAAGTAGGGTAGCAATGCCAGCTGCAGGCATCAGAGAGGAGGATGCTTGTTCTTAGTCTGAGTGCAGCGCAGGGAAGAACTACTTGTATCCCATGGACAAAGACAGTTTTCTCAGTCCCAGTGTGAATGTTTGCTGTAAGCAGCAGCTGCATAGGGGCATGCAGTTCTCAGAGCCAGAGCAGTGTGAATCTCCTCTGAGCTTCTACTAACTATTAGCATTGGTCCTTTTCCTACCTTTCTCAAATATAAAAGCTCTTGTTATGTTTACCTGCTGTCTTCCTGATCTGGCTTTAAGCCTTTGTCAACCTTGTTGTCTTTTGCATTTCTGACTCACCCTTTTTTCTTAACTCTTTCTGCTGCTATTAAAAAAAAAGCTGATCATCCCAGTGAATAAAAACAATAGCATAGGTTATCTGTTACATCTCCATGTCTCTCTTGCTATGGCCATGCCATTTATATTGCTTGAAAACAGCGACTGTGGATGGATACATTGCATGGAAAACTACTCCTAAAGGAAGGTAGGGTTTCCTTGTTGTTGATGGTTTCTGCATTCCCTTCCATTTTTCCCCCCCAAATGAAGACTTGCAAAGCATGGCTGCCCAAGCAAGCAACTGTGAGCAAGATAGGGTGTGGGTACAATGAATCAGCTATTTTATAGTAATTGCACACCTACATAGTCTCAGTAAATACAAAAGAGATTAATTGCCTCCCTATTGTAGGATAGGCTGCACATACTCCTTCATAAACTTGAACATGAGCCATGAAAAGCCACTGGTAGAATGGCTCCATCTTCCAAGTATAACTGTTAGGCCTTTTTCCAAGGGAAGCTGACTCGATTTTTCTTTCAGTGATGGTGACTTGCTTACCTGGTCTTGGGTTCATAGTTTCTTTTGAGTTTTAAGGCAGAAAGACAATTATTTTACTAGAATAGCAAAAGAATAAAGAAATTATCTTCCAAGTTCATTTTTGAGTTCATCTGAAAACTGTACAAATAATTTGGAATCTATATATAGTTCTGGGAATAAAATCTAGAAAGACTCTTGAAATCAGGTGTCCTTCCCTGCAAGTAGAGGATATGGATTGGATCACTCCACATGGAAGCATCTGCCATGGTGTTTGAGTGTTATGTCTTCATTGACTATGTGGTGATACATAGCTTTGCGGAGACTGTTTCATCAGAGGGGGGCTTTAATGCAGGAGTGCTTTCCAGATGGTGCTGTACCATCCTGGCTCTCAGCAGTCAGTGAAACAGTACGGCACCCAGCACTGCAGGAACTGACTGTTCATCAGTATTTCACTGGTGCCATCCTCTGCCTCCAAACATCCTCTTTGGAGTTCTGTTCATTTCTTTGAATACTATGGACCATAATAATTGTCTGCTACCTCTTCCAGGTGTGATGACTACTTCTATATCAAGCACCGTGACGAGCGAAGAGGGATTGGAGGCATATTCTTTGATGATGTAGACTCTCCCTCCAAGGAGGAAGTATTCCAGTTTGTGAAGAGTTGTGCCAAAGCTGTTGTGCCTTGTTACATTCCAATTGTGAAAAGGCATTGCCATGACTCCTTCACACCAGAGGAAAAGCTGTGGCAGCAGCTTCGGAGAGGACGGTGAGTACTGAGGTAGCAAAAGAATTTGTTAGAGGTGGATTATGCTGGTGAGAAAAAAGTGAGCTCGTTCTTCATGTTTGCAGGGTTTATGTCCTGTTGTAGTGTGGGCTAAGTTTGCACAACTGCTTTTATGCTTGCCAGAGAATTTCAACATTTTTATATACAGAACTATTTTTGAGATCCAATGCTAGATTGCCAGGGAGGGTGCAAAGAAGGTACTAGCACACCCTCATCTGTATCCCCCACTCTCCCATGTTGCAGCACAAGCAACCTGTACAAAATACCTGAGTTTCCAGTTCCTCCAAAAACCAAGATAAGCTGCAGCTTTGTAACAGGCAAAGGGGTGTGTGGTGTCCTCAATCCTGCCCTCTCCTGCAACCCAGTGATGCAGGATATAGGACTGCCCCATGACATGAGGAGCATAGGGTGAGGGAGTCGTGCTTCCTATTTAATAGTGAAGCTAAACTCCAGAAAGTCATAGAATAACTGTACCCAAGAAAACTTTCAGCTTACTTATATATTTATTCTGTCTGATCTTGGCATTGAAATGAGGATGCAGTGAACTCTGTAAAGGAATAAAGATACAGAGGGATTTTGGTTTTTTTGCACCGTCCAAAGTCTTTTGAGGATGCTTATTTATGTGAAGAACTGATAGTGCTGCAAAAGGTTAAGTATATTGGTAGATACAGTTGTACTCCTTTCTCTCTGCTCTGTGGTTGCATAAGCCTATGGAGAAATGGGACTCCATGTGCTTTGTGCAGAACTGGTGAGTCTGTAGTTTCTGCCCCTTCTGCAGAGAAATCTGTGAAAGTGGGATAGGGAAGACCATAAGCATTCAAGTTTAGGTCACTGGTCTGCAGCAATTATTCAAATAAGCAGATATGCTTAACTTGGTGAGGCTATTCCTGGCAGCATTGGCCTCTCAGGATCATGCTAAGGTTATAAGTGGGAATAGCTTATAATATTATAAGGTTATAAGTGGGAATAGCTTCTTTAGGTTGCAGCCAGAACCGGCTCATAAGGGCTGCTTATTTCTCTGGATCTGTTTGCAGGTTACTTGGCTAGGCTAAGCTCTCCTTTTCTGCAAGTAGATAAGTGCTTCTCCTCTCCTGTGCCTATGTTAAGTACTAATACCTCAGTACTGGTTACTAAGATAACCCCTGCTGAATTGTCACTGCTCTGCTTCTGTGCTGGGGACAGAAAACTCTCTATTCTGGCACCTATGAGTTCCAGCCAGCACTCTGAAGCTGTCTGACTTCTGCTGCTTTTCAGGTCTCCCCAAGAAACAGAAAATCTTGTTCTGACCTTGCTGCTTATGTATCTTTCAGCATGGAGGACTGCACAGTAGAGCATTTTCTGTGGTCACTTCCAGTTCCTTTAAGGCTCCTCTTTATGTCTGACAGCACCACTAAAGTACAAGCATAACCAAGCTAAACTTGGTGTTGAGCTTGCCAGCAGGGTTGAGGCCTAGAAGTGAGCTAGTGCAGCACCGTGCAGAATGCTCTCCTCAAACAGTTTGTCTGCTCTCATCTGTTACTTCATGTGCTTTGTGGAGTGACGAGGTCACACTTGCATTGCTATGCAGATGATGGCCCCAAACCAGGGTTCGTTCCGACACCCAAGAGAGCAGAAGGACAGACCAGTTTTGTTTGGTGTCTGCTAGTTGAAAAAGGCACAAGCAGCTTCTGATAATAAACTTGCTTTCCTGTTGCATCTCTTCACTCCCCATAGGTACGTGGAGTTCAACTTGGTTTATGACAGAGGTACAAAGTTTGGCCTCCTGACACCAGGATCAAGAATTGAAAGCATTCTTATGTCTCTGCCACTGACTGCAAGGTAAGAGCATAGCTATGCAGGTAGGCACTGTTCTTATTAAAATACAGGATTAAATCAAAGCTCTGACCTGGTGTCCAGTCTCTTTAACAGTCATTAATTCATACTTGATATAAGAGCTGGCCAAATACATGCAGATGCTTCTCTGGTCTGCTACACTCATGCAGTTGCCAGTAATGACAAAAATATCTAGAACATAGCCTTGATATTTTCTGACAAAAAAAAATGTGGATTTTTTGTGCTTAGTCCCTCTTGAAAGATTTTTCCTGCTTGCTCCATGGGGTTTTTTCAGTAGCTCTTTGAAACCATGTGAGCTTGTGTCAACATGTCCTGAGAAGCCTGTGGTAAGGAAGTTCCACAGTTTAACTGTGTGTTGTGTGAAAAAGTACCTCTGTTTTCTGCTCACACCTGATGACTTCATTCAACTTTTCAGTGACTAACCAGATTTTCTTCCTGTTCATTTTCTCCATAACAGTTCTTATTTTACAGTCTTCTGATGGTTTTGCTGTCTTTTTTCCAGGCTGACAAGTCCCCCTCTTTTTAGTGTTTGTAGCTGTTCCACACCTCTGATCACATTTGCCTCTTTTCCCTAAGCTTAAGTTTTCTATGTCCTTTCTGAACTGGGGATAAGGAACAGACATCATAAGGTACATGCCTGTATCCAAGATGCAGGTGTGCTGCTGACTCATACAGTGGCACAGTAAGGTTTAGTTCATTATCCTTTCATAATCCTAATATGCCATTCGCTGGTTTTCACTGCTGTTAAGCATTGAGCTGGCTTTTTCATAAAATTGCTACGATGCCAAAATCTTTTTTTCTGGGCAATAAAAATTAACTCAGTCTCAGTGTGAATTTTCTGTGCACATCCCTTTAGATCAATCAACAGTGAATTTCACCTCACATTTTATCGCTCAGTTGCTTGGCTTGATATTAACTCTTTTCAACTGCCTTTTTAGGTTTTAACCAATCTTGCTTAATCTTGCAATATAAGCAAACTGTCATTTGCTGTTTATGCCCCTTTTCAGGTCGCTTTTAGATGTGCTGAGTAGCATGGGCCCTATAATGAATTTCATAAGACTGTTAGTGACCTCCCTCTGCTAGGATAACTGACCTTTGCCTGCTACCCCTTAACCATGAAGGCAGTCTTGGTCATACCATGTATCTTCATCCCACTGCCAACACCAGATGTGTCCCTCACCTTGTGGTGTAGCACGGTCCTACCTTTTGATTTAGTTTCTGGGATGATCTGGTGTTGCTTGTTTTTGTCAACCGAAGTAGCTCACTTAACAGCATGGATGTGTCCTTCCTGGGAGAAAAAAAGTGGAAAAAGGTTGTACCCATCCCTTTGCAACTGCTGACCATTTTCTTCCTCTCTCATGCCTCTTAATTGCCTCTTCAATAAGAAGAGGTCTCTCATCAACTGTGCTTTTAAAACCAAGATTCAACAAGGACTTGTAGTGTTTCCAGTCCAGCATCTGGAAAAATTTGCCCTGGGCAGCTGGAAAAACTGCATTGAGATCAAATGATAAAATTTGAAGCTGAAAATTTCCCTTAGGGCTTGTGTCCTCACTCTTTTTGAGTTCCTTTTAGCTTGTCTTCCTCATGACACTAATCTGTTACAAGAGGCTGCTAAAGGATCTTTGCAAATTAACCTGCACAGATTGTGGAGTAGGGAGCATTTCTCTCTCTTTTTTGTTTGTTCTTCCAGCCTTTCCAGAAGTTGGGAAAAAGATTGAGCTAACATTTCTCCTGTCTCTTCCAGTGTTGTTTTTACTGACCTTAATGATTTGTAACCATATCTGTCTACCTGACGTGAGAGTATCAACTGTGTATGTAGCTTTGCATCCTCAGAAAAGGCAACTGGAGTCCGAATACAGCCTGGTGTGGGAGAGGTGGCAGCCAGCTGGGCAGTCTGAGTGAGTTTTCCCTTTCCCAACAGGTGGGAGTACATGCACACCCCTCCAGAGAGCTCAAAAGAAGCTGAAATCCTGGAGGTATTGCGCAATCCCAAAGACTGGGTGCACTGACACTGATGGTGAACAAGATGGATTGCTTACACTGAGCCATTATGAAAGAACAGGAACGCCTGCGAACCAGCTTATTCAAACTGCTGTAGCATGGTGTTTTACTATAGCTATTTATAATCTTACGTGGTGCCTTAATCGTGCTGTAGGCTTGTTGCAACTTGCAGATACGTGAAGTCATTCTTTAAGATTGGTCGGCTAATGTTATCACCCCCCTGTTGAAGTTGCCTTGTGAAGGACTGGCGATACTCCCACAGGACTACTGCGCATGCTTAAGAACTTCTTCAGCTGATTTGTTTGACTGCAAAATGATAAACTACTGTGAAGTGTTCTCCCAGTGGAATGAAAGCATTATCTGTGCCTAAATAGCACTGTTGGGATGTTTTAGAAATACTTTTTTGAAGAATAAAGGGAATATTTGATATTATTTTAAACCTTAAAGTCTGCTTTCAGGATGTTGTGAAGATGGTGGCACTTAATTATGTGTAAAGTAAAAGGGTAAAGTTTCAAAATGTAGCATGACTTGACTGATCAGTAACTGGGAGATTCTGGGTTGGGGTCCCAGTCTCACTTGATGAGAGCAAAAGGCTGGCTGTCCCTTTTGAGGAGAAAACTTTCAGCACTGCTCCTGTTAGCTGAGACCAAGATGTGATACAGCAAACAGTCTCTCAGACCTCCGACCTCCTCCTTTGCCATGAAGGTGGGGGACAGATCAGCAAGCTCTTGGATGTTTACTCGAGGTCTTTTCAAAGAACAGTTACACGCTGCTCCCAGCCCAGGGCTCATTGTTCCGGCATTGTTCTCTCTTCCTCCAGCAAGAACCGCATTGAGGTTCAGGTGTGGAAAAGCCTTGCAAGGGCCATCCGGAGGTCCCCCTGAGCCAGGAGTTGGCTGAGGAAAAGCATACCTTTTCTCCCCGTCGGGGAATCGAACCCCGGTCTCCCGCGTGACAGGCGGGGATACTTACCACTATACTAACGAGGAGCTAGGTAGTGAAGCCTCCGCTTCCTGCCAGCATGTGGCACTACCACACTGCTGCCGAGTTCCCGACCCGCGGATTGTCGGCTACCTCGGCCTTCCGGGCCGAGCCCTGGGCGGCCTCATGCTCGCTGACTCCGTTCACCGAAGTCCTGCTTGCCCTTGGGCTGAGTGTTTGTTTCCTCATAAAAAAAAAAAGTTCAAAATAGAACATGAAGTAACAGTCAGCGATTTTCTTGCCTTCAAAGGAAAAAATCTTGAGTGGCCCGTACGGGGATCGAACCCGCGACCTTGGCGTTATTAGCACCACGCTCTAACCAACTGAGCTAACCGGCCCCGTGGAGGCGCGTTTTCGCGTGCACACAACTCACGTACTGCCACGAACACGCCGCGGGTACAAGCGCTGCCGGGTGTTGCTCCCGCAGGCCCCGGAGGTCCTCCGGCAGAGCAGCAGGGCATCGACGAGGGTGACGAGGACGACTAAAATGGAGACCTTCCAGACTCGTTTTTTCTGCACACCCCCGGCCTGATTTTAATCTCCTCTGGGAAGCACTTCCGTAGCCCCACAAAGCCTGGGGCTCTGTGCCTCTGCGTCTCCCTATGCAGCCATTGTTAGCCCCCAATTTTCTCAGTTTCAGGCCAGAGCTCGGCTCTGAAATGGGACATGTGTGGCTCCTGCTCCTACACCAAAGGTGCTAAGACTGAAAGCTGATGCTGGGCCTCACCTTCCCTCAGAAGTGCATTTACAGTCCTTGTAGTGGTTTAAGTCCAGTGGGGAACTGACAGAGAGAAGAAAAGGACTTGGAGGTTTTTTCTCACCACTTAAGGTCACAGGAAAAAGACAGACTTATCTTGGGAAGAAAAACAAAAAAATTACTCTGTTAGGAGTAACATCAGAGTAAAACAGTGAGAGATACAACCAGATACTAAAGTCAAACACCTTGTTCAACCCCTCCCTTTTTGACCCAGGCTCAGATTTGTTCCTGGTTTCTTTATCTCCTCCTGCTTTGTCCAGAGGCATAAGGGGATGGGAATGGGGCTTGCAGTCAGTTCATCCCATGCTGTCTCTGCAGCTCCTTCCTCTTCATGGTGTGGGGAGGACTCCTTCCACTCTTCCTCTGCTTCCACATGGCACCCTTCCCACAGGAGAAAAGTCCTCCACAAAGAGCTAATGTGGGTCTGCCCATGACTGCAGTTTCCTGCTCCAACGCACGCTGCCCATGGAGTCATAGCTTCTTCAGGGGCAGCCACCTTCTCATGTGGAACTACCCCACTGGTGAGCCTCCATAGGCTGCAGGTGGGTTGATCTGCACTCTTGCCACAAGTTGTAGGGGGAACCTTGGCTGTGCATCCTCCTCCTTCCCTGTCTCCTTTCACTGACCTTGGTGTCTGCACAGTTGTTCTCCTTAGGTCCCATTCCTTTCTCTGCTGCAGATCCTTTCTGCTGGTTCTGAAGAGTTCCCGGTGCTCTCTCTTGTTTTAGAGCTGTAGCAGGGCTTGAACTTAATCTGGGGCCGGGCTGGTCAGGGCCAGGCTGGGCCAGGGCTGGGACCATATTCCCCACACCTGGGGCTGTGCTGGTTGGAGCCGAGGCAAGAGAGGGTGGGCTTTGCGTTGTTCTTAAATACATGAATTTGCAGGGGCACTGCTTGGCTTGGGCCTGGTCAGAGGTGGGTCCAATATTGGAGCTGGGTGAGCTTCTAGTAGCTTCTTACTGGGCTATCTCCATAGCCCACCCCGCTACCAAAAAAACCCCAAACCCCTCACAGAAAACTCACTACAGCCCTACACTGGGGCTCTGTGCTTCTGTGCTTCCCTAGGAAGCCAGCATTCAGCGAAAAGTTTTCTCGATTTTTTTCCCAATGCCAAGCTTTAATATTCCACATATCCAGCTCCTCCACCACAGAAAAGAGGCTAGGACTGAAAGCTGTTGCTGGGCCTCACCTTCCCTGGGAATTGCTTTCATAGACCCAAAAAGCCTGGAGCTCTGTGCCTCTGTGCTTTCCTAGGAGGATAACATTTACAAGCCAACACAAATATGGAAGCATAAAAGACACCTCCAACAGGGGCCAAGTGCACACCTGCCACCGGAGGTCCTCACAGAAACAATGCATGAACTGAGGGTAGTGACTATTCCTCACCTCCCTCCTTTTTTTCTCTTGTTTGTTTTGGTTTCTTCTTTTCTCTCTGTTCCCATTCTTCCTCTTTTCTCTTGTTCTTTCTTCTTAAATCCTTGGGCTGGGTATGGGTATTTGGCATCATATGCCTTATAATCTCATACTTAGCTAAAATCAGGGTAGTTGATAAATCTCTTACCAAGACTCTTGTAGATTGTAGTTGCCGGTAATCAGTAAAAGACATTTTTAAAGCTTGCCGTGCCTTGGATTCTGACCCAGCACAACTTGGTCTCTCCGCAATAGTGGGATGAGACATTTTTATTTTATTTTGAACCAGTGAAGCAGGCTGCTTTCTTGCATTCTGACCCAGAGGAATCACAGAATATTAGGAGTTGGAAGG